GGGAATTCTGGGAGTTGAAGTCCACCCATCTTCAAGCTGCCAAGGTTGAGAAACACTGGCTTAGCACAATGCAGGGACTTGCCTACTAAGTCAAGCTCCTGATCTATTTAGTTCTTATTATTCACTGGCAGCCACTTTTCAGAGCCCCAGGATAGACTCCTAACCCTTGGAAGCATGGGACCTTGTGTGCACAAAGCTTCTGCTATGCCAGGGAGCTAGGCCTTTGGCTAATGAAGTGTCATTAACTGTGACATGCACAGGGCACATCAGTGCTAACATAGTCTGATTCAGTTTCACAAGCAATCCAGCTGACAGGGACTTGAATCGTAAATGAGGTACCTCTACCAATACATCTGAATTTGGTTAGAAAAGAAATTGCAAAGCTGGATAAGATGCAAGAAAGAGCATCCAAAGTGAACACAGGCTTGTGAGAAAAAATATGAAGTTTGGTAGGGGTTAGCATAGGGGAAAAGGGACAAATAGGTGATACGGGTACAGTCCTAAGTCAAGCTTGACCTCTGGTGGCATCATGGATTTTGAAGGACGTTTGAAGAAGTATTGCTCCATAGGCCACCTTAAGCTCCTGGACAAAGGCTAAGTATTCCCAGGTCTTTCAATCCCTTTACTGGATTTAGTTTCTAATCTAGCTTATCCTCTGGCACTGGTTCCTTTCTCTGGACCTCTTCTAGTTTGTTCAAATCCTCCTTATAGAATGGTACCCAAAACTCGACACAATTCTTAAGGTAGGATCTGATCACTGCAGAAAAAGTGAAATTATGACTTCCTGTGATTTGGAAATAATACTTCTGCTGATGCAGCCCAAAACTGCAGTTGACCTTTTGCATTCACATCCAAAATTAAAATTTGTCACTTTGGTAACTTACAGAAGACTATTTTATCCCTACTTTGCTGATTGATACTCATATTCATATCCCCTGCTTCTGGCCAGGCAAACAGAACCTGAAAGGAGCAAATGAGTGTCATTTCAAAAAAGGAAAGAATATATAAAAAGCATTCTTTCATTTTTTTTCACCACTTTTTAATTTGGGGTATCCTGTTTCTCTTAGGAAGGAGGGAGACAAGTGCCAAGACCATTTAAGTTCTGACCCCTATAAATCTACATTCATCTCTTCTCTGGCTTCCTAGATTTCAATACTCCTTGCCCAATGCCAGCCTTGTCAGGTAGTCCAGACAAGAAGCACAACCAGGAGTACTAACTATACCTTTATTATAAAGTTATATTAACAGAATCTTGCAAGTCTGAAAGTACATCTCTCCCCCCTTGCCTTTACAGTCCAAGAAACTAGGGAGGGTCTCTTCTGAGACTTTTGCCACACCCCTATTCCTTTTGTGGGCTCAGCTGCCTCTTATCTAACCATAGCCCAGTCTGCGACTCTTCCTCCTGTCTCCCAAGGTCATTCCCACATACAATTACACCCACATTTCAAGCATTCCCATTCAGCCAAGACTGACAAAAATCTGCCTATTGAAAGTGAAAGTTAAGATTTTCTGCATTCATCCTCAGCTCTACCCTTAACACTACTATGTTTTAAGGAGTAAAAATCCTTAGAAAACACTGAACATTCCTTTCAACCACCCTACCAGGTGGCTTCAGAAGTCACAAAAAAGAATTTCACTGGAAAGCAATAGGCTGTCTGCATCTATGGTAGGAGACACAGGCAGGAGTGTGTGCAGAGTCTGGTCAAGAAGTCAAAATGGCAGACATGATGGTGTAATTGAAGCTCCGCCTGTTTTTTATGTGCATTGCGGAGCTTAGATTGTACAGTCATGGCTGCCATCTTATCTTTTTTTTACCACACCCTGAGGACACTTCTCTACACAGGTTTTGCTTTGCTTTTCATGTCATTGCTCCTCGCTGCCCCATTCAGTTGCTACTTTACAACCTATGACCAGCCCTGGGTGTTTTCCCATTAGCACAGAATAATTGGGAAGGGAGCTACAGAAGACTCCACTGGCATGTACGAAAGTTATTTATTCTGCAGCAAATTCATTAACCAGACAATTCACAGCAGCGCAGGGGAGATTTCTTTCTTTTTTTCCCAGTCACCTTTTGACTCTCTTCTCGTTTTTGTTTTATGAAAATGTGGTGTAACTGGCAATTTAGAATAAATTAATATGGGGGTCAGTGAGAAAAAGAGAAGCGTGATGCTGTGTGATGCAGAATTCTGTATCCTGCAGTGTTGTTGCTGCCCTCAAAGGAACACCAAACCAAACAAATATCTCAAACATGGATCTAAATACTTAAACTGTGTGCTTTTAACATACTCCAGAATGTTGGCTCTTAAGCCAGTCAGGGAACAAGACCAAAACATAATCAAATGCAAGTCAGCCATTTGAATAATGACCGTGGCAGAAGGTCCAAACGAATGCCAGAAAAAAGTCACATGTATTACATTACCTTCTACTAATGTATAATAAATTACGTTTATATCCTGCCCTTTCTTACAGGGACACAAATTGGAATGTATTTTTTTTTCTTTTCATTTACCCTAAAACAGCAGTTCCCAATCTTTTCCTTTATGCAGAACTCTGTAGCATTACAAAAGCTTAGGTATATGCGAGCTCCCCCTCCCCCCCAACTATTGACCATTACAAGATCCCCAAATTAAATAAAAATGAATTTAAAAATACTTAGTCAAAATGTTGCAAGACTGCTAAATTCCATGGGCTTTCCAGCTGAAATTCCATGAGAAATGAGGCAAGATGTATTGATCAACTCAATTTTGGGCCATTCTTTTTTTAACTTTACATTTTTGCATCTGTACCAGAAACCACCTGCAATACCTTTATGGAACACCAAAGGTTAGGAAACCCTGTCCTAAAACCTCTCTGTGCTGGCAGTTAGACTGAGAGATGGTAACAAAGCCTAAAGTAATTTGGTGATGAGCTTCATGGCTGTTTGGGGATTTGAACCTGCATAGGTTCAGGGTGAGAGACAGTTTGGTATAGTGGTAAGGCACCAGGCTAGAAATTGGGATACCATGAGTTACAAAGCCAGCTGGGTGACCTGGGACCCAAGAAAATTGCAGGGACTACTCTAAGCAGTTGCCAGGAGTCAACACTGACTTGAAGGCACAGAAATATAAACAGGATCAGTGTAAAGAAAAAAAAATGTTTCATGAAGCTAAGGGCAAGCTGTCACTTCTTATCATAGCCAGGGTTCTGATTTAATCAGCTCAAAGTTCAATTTAGTTGCTTGTATGTACCCAATAAAAAGCAAAGGTCCACATAAATATTTGTCTGCAGTTATATATATTTGGGCACATTTCTTCAGATGCATGCTTAGGGAATGAATTTTTCCTTCATTGCACATTTTTCACAAGCAATTTTCCTATAAAGAAGAAAGACTATTTGGGGCTTAGGTTTTTCAGATGATCATTTTGGTACCTATTTTCCCTTAATATAGACACTTTTGCACATATTTTCAAGTTATAAACTACATTTCAGTTCAGGAAAAATGAGTATTTCAGCATGCATTTATGTTCTGGAGTTTTCTCTACATTTCAGAAGTTCAAGATCACTATATTTATATAAAGATTCTGGCGCACCAAATTTTTCATGTATCCCTCTTTTTGATTAATTGATTGTAGGATCTGAGTTGGAAGGGACTGAAGTCATTTAGTCCAGCATTCTGCTCAATTCAGGATCCACTAGAACATCTCACTAGTTAAAGTTGACACAATAGCAATTGCTAGATTTTTCACTTTATAATCTCAGGGTATGAAAAGTCTTAGCCCACCTGGCTAATCTTAATGACAAATATATTCTAGCCTCATACTGAGATCCTTTGCATATTGTCAACAAAAGCCTTGAACTTCAGTTTTAGTCTTGGATACTCCATCAACTAGAAAACCACAGGAAGTCCTGGGGCATTCAAAATAACTTCTGGTCTAATTTCAGCCATTTTCTGCTTCAAGGAAGAATAACCAATGCAAGTAGAGAGTATCTTTCAAAAGCCAATGACTGTGCTGGATACTGAACAAAAGGAGTGGGATCTCGATTTGACTAAAATTGAAATGAAAAAAATTGAAATCTAAAATTTGACATGCGAATTTTGGAATGATGAAATTTTACATCCAGACCTCATGATAAGTCAAATGCCAAATCTTGTTGCATATCAGCTATCAACTATTAAAATAAAATATTAAGCATCAAATATTTGATCTCTGTTGTAATCTCTGTTGTATGTTTTTCTTTCAGAGTTATCATTCAAAATAAACTATGTGATGAATTTTGGGAGCTGGGTTAATTTCAGCTCCCATTCATATCAACTTTATAATATCATATCAACATGTATAAATACTATACATATAACTGCATATCAATTTCATAATGCTAAGTGGACCACATCACTCAGACCTGCCATTTGGATAAGCTGTAGGTCAGAATAAGATGCAGTTGGACCTCTTTGTGGCCATGGAAATTGTAGCCGTCTCTGCTGTACACTGATGTCTTAGGCTCACTGTATACCAAAGTCAGCAACCTGAACCCCACAGGCCACCCACCCCCTGCCTCCACTTTTGGTCTTTGGAACAATTCCAGATCATACTATTGAAACTGAGTAGCAAAACAGTTGGTTTTCAATAACATCTTTTTTCTGTGCCCCCCCCCCCCCCGCCCCCTCTTTTGGGCTTTGGAACAATTCCAGAACATTCTATTGAAACTGAGTTGCAAAACAGTTGGTTTTCAATAACTTTTTTTTTCTGTCCCCCCCCCCCCGCCCCCTCTTTTGGGCTTTGGAACAATTCCAGAACATTCTATTGAAACTGAGTTGCAAAACAGTTGGTTTTCAATAACATCTTTTTTCTGTGCCCCCCCCCCCCCCGCCACTAATGTAACAGACCAAATGGGTTGAAGTAATAACATACATTTCTTAGAACAGAGAGCAGTGGAAAGGTCTAATGAGCAGGGCATACAGAAATGCACCATACTTTCTGATTGTTTTCTTTTAATTTAGTATTTCTCATTTCTTTTTTAAGAGTCCACTTACCGTCATCAAGCCACCATTGATGATGAGGTTGTTTCCATGGAAATACTAGATACAGCTGGGCAGGTAAGAACACTGCTGATCCCTATAGCAAAATGCCAGTGCCAGAAAACTATAATTAACACTAGGGGAAAGTTGTCAAGTATTTATGTGCAGAACATTATAACTGAAATGTTATTAAGGAGACTAAGGAGAATAATCAGAAGATAGTAGGCCAACTATGAGAGAATATGAAAGGGAAGCAATGCTTCATATTCCCTGTAGTTTTAGGGTTTCTTACAACAGCAGAAGTCTCAACTGATTTTTGCTTGTTTATGTGTTTATTAATCCAGGCAAAACAAGAGAATTCCAAGAAGTTCCAAAAGAGGAGATATCTTAGGGACCAAATGGTGAAGAAGGGGGAGAATTATCATTCTCTTCCAAGTAGTTTTGAAAGACGGAAGTAGGGATAAACTTGAACTGGAATGTGAAACTGGCCCCTGAGCTGTTGTTAGATCAGTTGGAGAGGATATGTAGGTATTAAATATTACCCTATGTGTTTTTTCTTATGGAAAAATGATCTTATGGGGGGGGAAAAAGAAGACTTGTTCTAAACCAGAACCGCCCCAGCCAGAGTTAGTGCCCACACAACTGCTTTAAATAATTTTTTAGAAAAGAACATCTCTGCGGCATCTGATTATGAATCTTTGTATGTAAGTCTGTTGTAGAAAAATGTGGGCTGGGACAGTCTTAAGGAACATTATTATGGATGTTTCCTTCCATAGAGTCTAAAGATGCCATCCTGTCTCAATGCAGCTGAGAGGAAGCCTCACCAAATCCAGGGGAACTGATTTCTGACTAGATTTATATAGGATTGACTTGGGAATTCCTATACAAATAAATAAAATGAGGAGGGGATAGAAAAAAGCAGGCAATACAAAACAGAGCTAAAGTTGCATCTCTGGTCTGTACAGAGTACATGCGAATGTAGAGCTAGGTAGTGTCTTCCAAAAATAACATCAAAATAATATTTTTCAATATACAGATAATGCTAATGTTATTCTTGAATCAGTACTGGGTCCAGTTCTGGAAACCACATTTTAAAAAATATATAGATTAATTGGAATGGGTTCAGAGAAGAGCAACAAAAGTGACCAAGAAAGCTGGGAATTTCCTCCCTCCCTCCCTCCCTTTTAGATTTCTCTCTTTCCTTTAGGAGCTCAAGGACTCATTCCCTCAATTTCTCTTACAAAGATGGATTGAAGGACTGGATTTGCTTACTTCTGAGATAAAAAGATTGGGAGGGAAGTGATAGTCTTCTTCACGCAACGGTGTCCACAGAGCCAGGGACACCAAAATAGGCAAGATGGTGGATGTGGCATCACAATGCTAACCCTGCTGTTTCGCACATACATCCAGCATCTTTCCTGTGCTAACGTCTCCCTGCAGGTGCCACTGTCTTCAAGAATCCAAGAGGGGGTTACACAGAAGAAAGCACTAGCTTTTTAAAAAAAGCGTTCCACAGTGTGGAAGTTCCACTACTCATGTGAAGCAAGTCACAGATTTATTGACTGTCAGATTTATACTTGCACGTTGCTGACAAGCAATTCCACTGCAGTTAGCCATGTAACAATTAATATGCTTGGACAACAGTTAGAACAGCATCAACTAAAGCAATACAAGCAATACAGAGTGACAATAAAAGCATAGATAAAATTGAAGCTAGCTGTCCTACAAAGTCATAACAATGTTAAGAATTACATTTGCTTATACAAATCTACAAGTTTTATTTTTTCTTAAAATCAGCCAGTGAGGCTGAAGATAACATCAGGATGTGTGTGGGGGTGTGTGTGTGCCACAATGTTGATGCTGCCACTTAGAAGGCTGTGGCCATAGCTGTTTCTAGCTGGGCCTCTTCTCTAGATGGTACTCAAAACTACAGAGGACAAACTAAGCTTTCAGTTAGCGCCATGATGGGGAAATCATTCTTTTAGATAAGTAGGATCCAACCATAATGGGACTTGTATGTTAAAATTTTGGATTTGGTTTGGGAGGCAATGGGAATGCAGTTAACTGAGTCATGCATTATGTGCTCCCAATAGGGAACATCAGACAGACATTTAGCCACAGCATTCTGGCACCACTGCAGTTTTCAGGTTTCCTTCAAAGGCATCCCTATATAAAACACATTATTCTATTTCAGTCAAGGAAGCCAAGTCAGCCCTGTCCAAAAAGGGGCAAAATTGGTAAATCAAGCATAGCTGAAAGAAGATGCCCTTTCCAGCACACTCATCTGAGTGCTCAGGTGCTCAGAAATGCAATTCCATCCAAAGCATGGAAAGACCTGTCCAAACTGGACAGAGTTAAAACCAGCAACCAAACCCTCAGACCTGTCTGGATTCCATTTTAGTTCACTATGCATCACCCAGTCCACCATCTGGTCCCAGCAGAAGCTGACTTCAGAGGCTAACACAGCTAAAAATGATGGAAAAGAGGAGGGCTGGGTGTCATCCATATAAAGATGACACCCTCTCCCCATTTTCTGACAATTGCACCCAGTAGATATTGAAAGTCAAATAAAACTCTGCAGCACTTCTCAGTGCTTGAGCCTGCCACCATGCTAAAAGTGGAAGGAGGATGGGGCCATACTTCTGACACCCAACTTTGTTACATGCTTCAGAGGTCACCATGACCAATGGTATAAAAAGTCCCCAAGAGATCCAGGGGCACACACAGAGATACACACCCCATTAATCTCCCTCAATAGAAAATCCATCAGGGCAACCAAAGTTGGATAAGGGTTAGATATCTATTGGGGATATTTTAATTTGGATTCCTGCACTGGACTCAGTAGAATAAATGGATTCCAGAAGTTGGACTCAGTAGCCTAGTTAGCCCCTTCCAACTCAACAATTTTGCTGATAAGCAATTGGAGGAAACAGAAATCAGACCAGTATGAAAAAAAGTACAGGAAAATAGCACCTTTTCTAAGGGAATGTCATCCATTTTAGAAATCTAATTCTCCATGGATATGAATCAAGTGGATAAAGAAATCCTGCCTCTGTCATTGGGACTTTGTGGCACAGCTCTCCACTCACTAGGAAAATTATGGAAAGGAAAGAACTGGCGTACATTTGAAGAATTTCCTAACTGGAACATAGAGATACAGATATTTCATCATTTACTGCTCGCAGATGAGGATGAAGAATGAAGCCAGCAGGCCCTGTAGTGTTCTTTCCATCCATGTGATTATGATCAATGAAGGATAATACTTGAAAAATGATTTAATTTTCAGATCATTTCACATTTCACACACACAATTAAATATAGGAAGGTTCTGAGTGGATAATAATTTTGCAAGACAGGCCAGATGCCAGAGAACTGTCTTAGTGACAGCTAAATGCCAAAGTGAAAATGGAGCTTCTGGTCTGCATGCAAATGCAAAATTCAATGAAGGTTACACTGAATTGACTGAAATGTTACATACTTATGCCAATAATGTGATTAAAATATTTAACAAGGTATTTATTGTTAAATGGTATGACACTATTGTTGCACATGCTTTCTTTACAAATAGTAGGTATTCTCTTTAACGTCCCTTCAGCTCTCTGAATCTTAACTTTCAGTTTGATATTGTAATGTCTTATATCTTTGTAGCTGAAGTAACTCCATTTCAATGGTGTCTTAAAAAAATCTCTTTATATGCAAATGTAAGGATATGGAACCTATAGTCCTCCAGATGATGCCAAACTACAACCCCCAGTATTTCTCTCCCCTTGGATATGCTGGCTGATCAAAATGTACAATATGTCGTGCAGTCAAAATGTTCTAATTTCAGAACATCACATTCTAACCTCAGAACAACTGTTCTGAATTTAATGGAAACGGTCCAATCTCTAAATGGGCTATTTCAAGGTCAGAACATTACAAAGCAAAACACTTTGCACACCTCTGTTAACTGGAGCTGCTGGAAGTTGCAATTCAGCAAGTTCTAAAAATATACAGGTACACCATACCTAGAGAAGCAAGTGCCCACATTCACAAATAATTCTAGGTTTTTCAGATCTTCAAATGTCAAGGACTGTTCTTCAGCCAAGATGTGTATGGCTGTTTTCATCCTCAGTGTAGATAAAACAAACATGCATCAACTGGATAGATGAGATTCATATTCCACTGCCTTAGAACAACCACCAATTAGTGTAACTTAGTCTGACCACAATAGCTAAGCCATACAAAGCTCAAAGGGAAAGAACTATTACCTTAAAAAAAAACCCAGGATGTTAGAATAATACAGTGGTCTAAAATTAGGAACACAGACATCCCAGTTCTGGTGATGTCCTCTTGGATTTGGAGTAGCGACTAAGAGTCCGCCCTGAAAAGAAACAAAGCTATGAATGTTTCTCTCCACAAGAATCCAGAAGAATGTTGATTTGTGCAGCTATGTATCCATGTGCATTTAATGCCAGACCCCAGAGAATTTCCCAACCGTATAAAATCACATAGAAACCTCGGCTATCCAAAATCTCAGGTCCTAAAATCTATATGTATTGTTTCTCACCCCAACCTGCAAAACATGTTTCTTCTGCCTGTGTTTCTTTTTTGAAATAGGAGGATGTTATTCAGAAGGAAGGGCATGTACGATGGGGTGAAGGATTTGTGCTGGTTTATGACATCACAGATAGAGGCAGCTTTGAAGAAGTCCTTCCCTTAAAGAACTTGTTGGATGAAGTCAAAAAACCCAAGAATGTTACTTTGATCCTAGTTGGGAACAAAGCAGACCTGGACCACTCCAGGCAGGTCAGCACTGAAGAAGGGGAGAAGCTGGCCACAGAACTAGCTTGCGCCTTTTATGAATGCTCTGCATGTACAGGAGAAGGCAACATTATGGAAGCTTTTTATGAGCTTTGTCGGGAAGTGCGACGCCGGAAAATGGTTCAAGGCAAGACTCGGAGGCGAAGTTCCACTACTCATGTGAAGCAAGCAATTAACAAGATGCTTACCAAAATTAGCAGCTAAAATATCTATATTTTTTTTCCTTTCAGAAGAGGTGCATTTTGCAGGAAGAGGGAACAGAAGGCTTAACTGTGTTTGTCAATAGGATGGTCAAAGCTTTGCATTTTTATTATTAATTATTATTATTGTTGTTGTTATTATACCATCACCTCATTATTCTTGAAGTTAAGAGATGCAAGGAAAGTTTCAGGAATGGTAATACATGCTCTACTCCAGTTTTGTTTATCACCAAATCATATCTTTAAAAAAAAGGTATGTGGAAGATGTATCAGAATGCATCAAGAATTTACCCAACACCATTGGTTTTGCATGCTCACATGTGGCTATTATATGATGGCTTGTCATTGTCTAAGAGGTGACTATCAAGTCTTTGTGGGGTGCAATAGCTGGTTAGTGCACCACCGCGGTCTCCAGAAAGTTACTTCATAAGCCATTGACACGAGGCATTCAAAGAGTGAACTTTGCCACACAACCTTATCTAGTCCAAACATCCAAGCAGAGAGAAAGATGTTAAGGATGGATGTGTGAATCAGTCAATTTCAATTTCACTTAACTTTGCCTTTTGTCAACCTTAAATTCATTTCCTTCTACGTCTGCATTAATTTGCAATTTTAAGGAAAAAAAATTGCACAATTTCAGACACATTTTTGTGCATTTCTCTCAATGTGCACATTTTTGTAGGCGCTCCCCCTTAATGTACATAATTTTAGATGGCATTTATACAATTTTTTGGCAAGTGATTTTTTTCCTAATGTCATTTAAAAAAAAATCCTCTGATGTTATAAACATTCGATATGTATTTTTCAGTTGCATCCTACACCTTAATATTTGTAAGAGAGCATTTAGGGAAGTGTGAATTACGCAACTATCATTGCTGTTTAGAGCACTGTTAAAAAGCTGAACATGAGATGGGTCCCAATGATGGCAGTATTCTTTTCATAGGCCTCCCTTCTCAATTTGAACGTATTTCAAAAATCCATCCTAGAATGTAATTAATTTTGAATATATGTTAAAATAAGAGAGAATATCATAGATTTCTCCACTTAAAGTGTATAGGGAAAGACTGACAGAGCCCCTCTTCCCCTCACCCTTTTATCCAGTACTTCAACTTTAGATGACCAGCAGCAAGGTGGATGGACTCAGTTACAGTGGTGATGAGTGCACTGTTGGAAGACCTAATGACCAGGTTAGGGATAGATCATCATGGAGAAAATCTATCTATGTAATTGTTAGGAGTTGGAAGACTTGATGGCACATAATCAATCAACTTTAGATGTCAGCAGTTGTTAAAGTGATAGAAGAACATTTGTCCTAGACCCACACTCTTCTTGTTTAGTGGCCCTGCCAACTTTTTAAAGCCCCCAACATGCTACCCACCCAAAGGACAATTCTTTGCCACTTTGTACTGAAATTGCCATTTACATTTCACTAGGCATGTAGTGGAACACAGAAGGTTATCTGATTTCTCTAATTCTCCTGGCTGATGTACATACATACATATATACATATTCCTTAAGCCTTTCTTGAAGATCCAAAACTGGGATCTTTAGCAGTTCTCATACACAGATTCACCAATACATCTCACAGCTACAGTATTGTTGGGTCATTTCTGGAAGGCACTTCACACTGTGCTATGAAAACTAAGCTGAGTTGCCTTCACTTTTATTTAGTGGACCCACTGTCAAAGGTGTTACAACTGCCTTATTTGATGTGATATGGTCATGCCTCAAGCCCAGTAAACAGCTCCAAAAGGTGTTGAAGTCCTTTACATGATTCTTCCTGAACATGGTTACATTGTCTTGACAGCTGGGTCGAAAGGCAGTGTAAAGTTATTCCATTTTGACTGGCTTTTGTACCAAGTGACACATTTTAAATAGAAGTTGCTTCTTGGGTAAGATCCCCCCCGCCTTAAGATAATGGCAATCATTGCTTTATTTCATTAGTTCTTTCTTTCAGCTTCAATTTCTTGCCCTTTGATGACTCATGTCTTCTGAACACCTCCTACTCTCAACCCTCACTCCCCCCCCCCCCCCCACACCCCCCCCAACATTGCTTGGCATGTGAAGATATGTAACTATTACCTTCCCTCTCTTTTTGTACACTGGCCTTGCTCACACACTCGGATGGAAATATAACACTCAGAAATGGCAACAAGCTGAGTTGTGGGTGAGCACAGATGACACTATTGACACATGGACTAGTTACCTCATAATTGGAATATTGCAATGCATTCTTCATCAGGTGGTCTTTGAAAATGATTCTGACTCAGAATACAGCAATGTGATGGTAAATGATGGTAAATGATGCTTGCAAGTTTCTTTCCAGATCTAATCCAAGGCACTCATGAAGGTATTTAAAGCCTTACATGCATAAGACCAGATTACATGTAGTCCCACCTACTGTTGAACTACAGTCCACCCTGTCCTCTTAAATCTTCAATAGTCATCCTTTGCAGATCCCACCAGGGAGATATTTAACATCAGTAGGTAATGTTGCCTTTTTCATGGTGGACTGAAAACTATAGAACAATTGGCATAGTGGTTAAGGCACCAGGCTAGAAACTGAGAGACCACAAGTTCTAGTCCCACCTTAGGCATGAAGCCAGCTGGGGGACCTTGGGCCAGCCACTCTCTCTCAGCCCTAGGAGGCAGGCCAGGGCAAACCACTTCTGAAAAACCTTGCCAAGAAAACTGCAGGAACTTGTCCAGGAAATCTCCAAGAATTGGACACAATTGAATGAATAGAAAAAAAAGGGGGGGGGGGACTGCACAGTAAACCCACTATCATCCACAGAGTATGTTTAAGGGGCTTATGTTGTAATGAGCAGCAGACCAGAATGGCTGACTCTGAAGACAGGCCAAGGCAATGTAAAGTCTAGAGCTAGACTTTAATCATCATTGTGTATCCTTACAATGTCCACTATAGGGAAACAAGGGGAAGGGAAGGCTTGCTACAATTTTTAGAAAACAAGAAGGACAGGATAGGACTAAAAATGGAGAGACAGTTCCCTTCCATCTTGACATTCTTGAATTCAATCTGGAAAGGCGTAGTAAAAAGAGATTCTAGATCAGTGATTGATTAATTATTTAACGGGAAGGGACATACACCTGTCCTGTCTTTATAAATAAGTACTCAGAATGAAGGAAGGTTCATCCACTGACATAGTTAACAGTCATTGAAAGGAAAAGAATATGATGGGTGGGTTAGAGTAATTCTGTGGTTGGAATTCTAAGGAAAAGTTGGATATTTAGCCAAGACACAGATGAAGAGCAGGTCAATCCTCTGATGTCATTAGACTACACCTTCTATCATCCCTCACCTCTGACTACTGCTGAGGGAGGGGAGTTGGAATTCAGTGTCACCTGGAGAGTCAGACGTGCATCCATGATCCGTAGTATAAATATGTATCCACTACAGAAGATGAAATAATTGCTTTCCTAGCAACTTTTCTGTAAAATACAACCAACAGGATTTGTAACAATTCTATATACTTTATGATTCTCCCTATTAAGCATTATACGGTTTAGATCCTGGCTGAGTTCACATGGCACACCTACCCATGGTTAACTATGGATTCACAGACTCCTAGAACTGGAAAGGGGCCTCTGATGCCATTGGGCCCAATTTTACTTTATGCAAATGAAAGTCATTCTAAGAGATGGTGATCTATGTTCTGCTTGAACACATCTAAAGATCTCACAGCCTCTGTGGGCGAGTATTCACTTCTTTTGCTTAATTAATCCACTTTTCTGGGTCTGCTTGATGTTGAACCACAAACTAAACTGTCCCAGAATTGCTAGCCTAACATCTGCTCAAGTAGTTCATAGTTCAATGTGCATAGTTCAATGTGCTGTGTACATCCAGTTGCCTTCTAAGTGGATTCTAATCAAGGTACAAAATCTGTTTCACAGAACGGTATTTGCATGGGCTCTGGGAGGGCTCAAATCTTTCCTTACCCATAAAGTCCATTGGCTGCCCTCTGGCTATTCTTTTTCCCTGCCTCATTCCAATGTATCTTGCAAGATTGTTGTAAGCCTGCAAGAGGTAACTTATTGGAAAGCAATTGTGAAAACTTTAAAAGTATTGTGGAGAAAAGTGATTGCAACTGCTTTTAATAATTTGTGGGTTTCTATATTTAGACCTCCTTGTATGCAACAAAAGGAAAGGATTTCCATTCCTCCTTTTGTCCTGACTTGCTAATTCTTATGTTTTTAAAACATGTGGCATAAGGGTACTGTGGTTTAAAAGAAAATATGACAGTCATAGATGCTATTATTATTATTATTATTATTATTATTATTATTATTATTATTATTATTTTGGTGGAGGCACAGACTACCAGATGCTTGACATCTGAATCAATTCCAAGAAAATATAATCCATCATCTTTCAATGATTTGGCATCATGTGAATTGTGGCAGGCAGCCAAGCAGGAAATGACTTTGAACCCCTGTTATCTTTCATTTGTGCTGTAATGGTTATTCTCAATGTTAATTTTCTTGTATTGGTTTTGGGGAGGGAAGTTATTGAACAAGCCTATGTTTCTTGAAAATCTTTGCATTGGTGGGAAGGGATCCTAACCATTCCTAGCAGAAAGATGTGAAGGCTTTGAGGCTGACTTGGCTTTTAATGGCTTAAGCTTTGAACAATGCATCTTTAAGGGAAGACATTTGTAAACTATAGGGGCTTTAACAGAACAAAAGTTCTTGGACATTTGGCCTAGCTGACTTTATTTTTCTTTTAAAATGTTAATCTATAATAAAAGTGTGATTTTAAAAACTCTGGGCTTTTGAATGACGCCTGTACCTTTTAAGACAGCCATCGGGAATCAGTTTGGAGCTAAGACTACATTTAATTTTATGCAGCAAGTCAAGAGCCGCTGTAATAAAAGAAAAGAGGTGTGGGGGGAGAAGGTTGGAGCAACAGCACAGAACAGGTTTCTCAACCTTGGCAACTTTAAGACGTGTGGACTTCAACTCCCAGCATTCCCCAGCC